CCCCACAAATAGTTTGTATTTTGATTGAGAACAGACAAAACAGTTCACGCGATGTGAATAAAAGATGAAATGTAAAAATAACATTGCCTCTAGTGGTCCATCGTGGCACAATCACAAACACAGGCATGCATGCATACATACATAAACATAATACAGATGCAGACATAACACACACATACTAACATGCACGCATGTGCGCAAACGCGCACACATACACACATTTCCTTGTGATCGCTTTATAAAAACATTGAAGCACAACTTGTACGATGCAACTCCGGTAAGTTACTCTCATTCTCTCTCTCTTTTTCTTTCTATCTCTCTTTTTCTTTCTATCTTTCTCTTTCACTCACACTCTCCCTCTCTTTCACACACACACATACACACACACACACAAGCAAACACAAAAATACACTCACACACACAACATGAACATGAAACCAATCATACTTGCAAAATAAAGGTTGTGTACATGTTTCCATTAAAAAAAAATATTCATATATAAACAGCAGAACAAAATGTTATCAAAATTGCACGGTTAACACAAGTGGGATAAAAGGACAGCGAGCAACGGATGCACATCTGGGACAAAGTAAACACAGAAAACTCATACGGGTCACTTCCTACTTCACTGGCTCATCATCTTCACTTGTCCCCGTGGTTTTATGCACCCCGCATAATTTAGCAAAATTTGATCATTTTTTGCATAATTTCTGATTATTTTCCTTTATCATTCTCTGTAAAAAATAAAATTTACAGAATCGCATAATTTCACATTTTGGGGATCAGTTTGCATAATTTCAGAATTTTTCTTGCTTAAAACGACGGGGACAGCCTTAGCTTCACTTGCCCCTGCAGCATGACGCTCAACTCAAAGCATCACTACATGACATTTATCCTGGACGGGTATCTTTCTATTCTGCGCCCAATGCAGAATAAGTTTCTTCTTTGTTAATTAAAGTAAAAAATGTTAGTGACATGCTATGTCATCATCATCATCCAGTGCCAGATCTGCGACAGACATCGGCAATCATGATTTTCCATTCATTCCTTTGCTCGGATGCTCTCAGAAAAGCTTCGTTTCCCTGATTTTTCCTTGTTACCCATTTGTTTAGGTTCCCTAAACATGCTATGTACGTAAACAAAATACTTTTTCTTTTACGTTAAATAAAAATGTTACTGTGTCGTCTTTGTGTTTGAAAAGCTGAGTGTTGAAGCTGAGACATTTCCATGTCATGTTGGAAATCTCACTTGATATAATATGGGGCCTATATATGTGAGGCATTGTGGTGAAATCAGGCGCTTGTCAATTTTTAGGCATGTAGAGTTATTGGTACAATCTTAAAGCATGTTCTTTGGTCTTGCTTTGGACTTTAAAAAACATCCATTTATCTTGAACATAAGTCGAGATATTTGCGATTGAAGGAGGTGAGGTCGCCTGGTTTCAGAAGTAAAATTAGGGAGAAAATGGCTGCCATAGTTTGGTGACTTCCAT